GCTGTTGAGGCCGCTGACCTGCCTCAACCAACCGCTTCCTTTCGACCGTTCCTATAGGCGCCCTCGCCGCTGGAGAATTTACATCCATTGTTATCTCGTTGGATGGGCAGCGTACCAAATCGCGCACGATTCGTGTGTGGGATGCCATAACAGGTCAGGTCATAGACGAGCAATACATCGGGCTCACATGACCATATCATTCGTGTGGAGGATGCTACCACAGAACAAGTCGTAGGAGGCCCATTGTGAGGCAGCCAAGCGGCTGGCCTTGCACCCATGTTCCTACCTCGGGCTCCAGTGTGGAGTTGCACAGCTCTCATGTCCACATAGTTTGAGCCTTACCTTAATCCCCATACGCTCAACTACACTAGGTAATTAGAGGTCTGAAATTCATTTAAAGGCTCCCAAATTCACACTAAAGGACCAGCAAACTATGGTAACTCGTTTTCCCCTTTAATGACTTTTGAACTCAGCCATGGAATATGATATGCTCACCGTGTACTACACCTCTTCAACCAATCTGCTACATTCTCTCCAGATGGGAGACATCGCATCAGCTTATGATTCGCATGTGGGATGCTACAACAGGAGAGGTCATAGAAGGTCCATTCACGGGTCACACCGACTGACAAGCAACGTAATGCATCAGCCTGAGCCACGGGCAATCACACAATTTGCATGCATGCGGTAGACCAAATGCCCCCATTGTTTTGTCCGGGTCAGGCGGCAGTGTTACGCTACTCAGGAAGAACAATACACCCATGTGTTCCCTTTTGTTCTCGTGACGTTGAGTGTAGTGTTCAAATTGGGATATTTCTATCATCAGAGACATCGGTACTCATTCGCAAGTCGCCGGTTACCGGAGAATCAGACAAGTCTACTGGTACCACCGATAGGTATGCAATTGATAGATACCGGTACTGTATACTCTGATGCTACAACGGTTTGTAATATAAAGTGGTACATACTGAATAGCAGGCATGGTTAGAACTTTGATCAAACAACTTTGATGTGCAGATCATCATCATAAAAAATATCCTCGCCCTAGGAATGCTCTTGGTTTCAGTGTCCTTGCCATGGGGAGGCGACAGAGACCTCTTCCCAACGTGATATCTCATACCCCCACGTAAACCGGTAGAATAGGGGAGGCAAGACAGGCGTTGCAGAAGACCAGTGACAAAGACGGCGGAACGGAACAGAATGTAGATGGGCGGTGAGAAAAAAGCATTCTTGACGTGGAACTCCTCGAGGGCGGCAAGGCGCACCCCTTCATCAGGGAAGACAGCTTTAAACCCGCCCTTTATAAGCAAAACGACTAGCATTCCGTATCCTCTCTCCGTAGAACCAGAACAGCCATGGTCTGTGCGCTAAAATCAGGTATGTGTGTAGTAGATGATTCTTGTTACGCACGCAGGACAGCCTACAACGATAGCCACGGCAGCAAGGATGGTGTCTCCTTTGCCGTAACCCAGTGCATTGTACATTGTAGGAGCGAACAACGGGAAACCGAAGCCGGCCAGCGAGCGTAAGAACGAAACAGCCGCAAGAGCTAGGATAATCAACGTGTGAGCAAAGAAACAAACGAAGGTAAGGCTGGACCCAACCAGAAGCAGCGTGCAGTGTAAATGAATCGATGACATATGTCTGAATACTTTGGAATGTGATAATCGTTCCAGCTCCGACAAGCGCGATGCCCTGTAGAAGTTTCTTAGAACCATCACAAACGGTACAGTTCATATCGCTCACCACATCAGGCACTAGCCAGAAAACACGATTTTGTGCTGTCCAGCCGGCAATTAACATGCCAGCAGGTAAGAGAATCGTCCCAGGGACAATAGTAGCTACGGCAACCAGATGAATTGAAGCAGATAATCAAGGAAAATGAAAATCGGTGCTCACGCAGCCTAAATTCGGGCTTCCCAATCCCTCCATTGCGAAATTTCAACCTCCGATACAACTTATCAATCAACCTTGCGTTGATTTGTGATCCCGCAGTGAGGCCTACACCAAGAGCGAGATAATGAAGGCCAGCGATGCCTACGCGCTGGTGATATACATTTTGGAAAGTGGAAGGTATTGTCGTGATAAAAACTGTGACACGTGAGACAATATGTTAGTCGAGGAGATGCCATGTACATACGATAGAGAAGGCCGTAGACAAAGGCCATGTAGAGACCAAGAAGCTGTACAATGGGTTCGTATATGAACAGCCTGAACGGGCGAACAAGAGCCTTGCTGAATACAGTCTTCCAACTGCGTAACGGTAAGCAGTGAACATCATCGGTGATTGAACTAGACGCACTGCCTGTCTCCTGGGCTCATAGCACCTCGGGTCACCACTCCAGATGCTTTCTCTTCGTCCATGGTTTTACGGATTGATGCCGCTTTGCGCTCAAGGAGAACGGGCGCATACGCTTATAACAGACATGTTGGGTTAGTCGAATAGTATCGCCACACAAGCTGAATGACAAGCTCACTTTCTCTCAGAAACAGCACGCCTAATCCTTGGATAGCGGCGTCTACAATGGTCGTTGACCAGAACTATTTCGTGATGGTCAGGGCAGTTGTATGGGTCATGTGTGAGGTCAGGGCTCGTACCACCCAACGCCATGTTGATTTCTCAGCGATCCAAGCCCCAGCGACAGGAGCGACGACAGGACCTAGAAGGGGTGCGAGTGAATAGATTGCAATTGCCTGTCCTCGGTGTTCTTCGTCAAACAAATCGCCGATGACACCTCCACCTATAGCAAGTGGGGCTGACCCACCGAGTCCCGCTAGGAAGCGGAACACAATGAGCTCATTCTTGCTTTGCGCAAAGCCACACGCCAAATTCCAAACTGTGAAGAGGAAGGATTCGTTAGCTTCGATTGGGGTGATAAGAGAGCATATACCGAGGTACCACAGGTTCGAGATTTGAAGTACATGAGAGCGTCCATATAATTCGCTGAGCGGACCAAGGAATAATGGGCCAAAGGCTACGATAATGGCAAAGAGAATGGAATGAACGAAGGCTATGCAGAGTGCAGAAAGGACAGGTACGCACCGTAGGCAAGAACGAATACAGAGGTAACCATGGCGAGTTGAACAGTGCTGTGGATGTTGAAGCGTTCTGCCAGTTGCTCTGAAGCCGGTGCGATCATCGACGAGGAGACCGGACTTATGAACGTGAAAGCCGAGACGATAAAGGTTGCTCCCCACTTCTTTTTAAAGTTCCAACTACATATCCCAGCTACAGTGAGACAATGATGAGAGAACTATGCACAACCCACTTTCTTGGATTGTCTGGGTCATCTGGACCGTTCCAATCGACGACGATAACATGGTCATTGTCACGGTTGATGGAATCTAATAGGCCGCCATCTGGTGTTGTCGGAGAAGGAGGGCCGCTAGGATTGTCATGAGTTATACTTTCGGATAGAGATAAAGCTTTCTCTGCTGAGGCCATCGCTCAGTTGCAGTGCACTTAGAACATACGCCCACAGATCTGCGCAATATATATACTGACCCGACGATGGAGAGATACACCGTCCAGAATCCGATTCCAAACAGGTCCGATGGTCCGACGATATGGTCCTGATTCGTTAGCAGACTGGCAACTCACGAGTTGCGCTCTGACTCGGTAAACTCACGGCATTATTGTTTATTACGACCGTACCTTCGCCATGCCCAAGTCAAAGAATTCTTCCAGGAATTCTCGCCGTTTCGACGGCGATGTGTCAATGTGCGGCATGCCAGCAGTAACTTATGTATTGCAATTCGGCCGAACTGAGTACAATCGATTACAAAGCCCAGGGCCCGGGCACCACCATCCTGAAGTGGGTCAGGAGGAAGATTGAAGCCGTTGGCAAAATGAAGCACCCGATGGAGCGTACCACATTCGTTCGGTTCGGGCAAAGTTATGATCCGAGATGACGTGATTAACATTGTTCAATAATCCACGTGACTCAAACAACTTGTCAGTACAATGAAGCACCGTTCGCCCACAACCGCTATTTTCGCGGCATACATCCTCGCATTTGGACTCGTGCGTACCGTGGCGCTCCCCGTACTATCCCGTGTCCCATTTATCTCCAATATGTTCAGACCTTTTCTATTTCGGTCCATCATGGGCCAGCTTTTACATAGAATCAGTGATTGCTCTGCGATAGCATGCGCCCAGTGTTGACCTCGAGGATTTCCTGTTCTTGAAATTCTCCGTCGCCTTGGCTTCTGATTAAACGCGTCCCATCGATCCTCTATACCTCATTCCGAGACTCTCTGACCCAATAAGGCGTTTTACGTGGATCTTGCTGATACCCTGTACCAGCTGGCACATTCCTGCCTTGGTTTATTGTCTACGATCACAATATCCGATCGCTCTTCGAGACAGAATTAGTTTGCACTGGTTCACGATGCGTCAGCATTTGTGCGATATTTTGGCCTGGCGGTGGCATAGAAGTGCCCTGCAAATACATGTCTCTGACCTCCCTTTCGCACTAAGCTCTTCCTGGATATTACTACATTCATCAAGTTCACATTATCCTTGGAACGCGGGCGGCGGTCTCGTTAGCCAGTGACAATTCAGGCCCATGGTTGCAAGTGTTAATTCTGTTGCATTCTCCCAGGATGGGCAGCGTTGCACGGTTCGCGTGTGGGATGCTACAACAGGTCATAGCGGGCCCATTTACTGGACACGCGGATTCCGGTTGTACTCTCTTCGGAAATCGCATCGGCTGGAACGATTCGCCTACGGCACGCCACAATAGGACAGGTCGTAGCGGGCCCATTTACTGGGACACGTCTTCTGCCACAACGGTTGCAGACGGGCGAAATGTCGCATCAGCCTCGCCCAGTCGCACAATCGCGTGTGGGATGCTACAATAGGAGAAGTCGTTGCGGGTTCGTTATTGAACACACCGATTGGGGCCATATCTATTGTATCCTCGCCACAATGTCTCAGCCTTGGGCGATCGCGGGATTCGTGTGGAGGAGGTCGTAACAACGACTGTACTGGCAGTTGACCTTCGGTAGCTCAGCCGGAAGTGCATGAGACTATAACAGAACATCTGTGGTATCCAAAGGTTGCTGGTTCGATTTCAGTCCGAAGGAGATCTTTTTCTCTCTGCCTAAATCGAGAGAAACGTCAGAGCGGCGTGTCACGATTTCTTTACACTGCCGGCCCGAGTGAAGAAAGGTGCTACCATGAGCATTTGCGCGACACATCAGCTCAAGCTTTACTAGTAAGACATCTATTCAACCTGTATTTAGGGCCACCAAAGTCCCATACAGACCTACAGCTACCCAATTACGAGTATTGAGGAGGTTCGAACTGTGTTCTAACATAGACATGTACAGATTTTACATTACATGCGTAAATAAATATGAAGCGTTTGTATGTGGTATATCTAAGATGTTGAAGAGGGAGATCGTAACTCGTTATACCGTTCTCATCACGGCGGGATTCACGGAATCGTTAAATTTCTTACTACTGGTCGGGTCGTGATAATAATCTGATTCAAGTTGAGGATTTTGCAAGAGGTCCCCAGGGTGGAAGATATTTAATGTCACCATCGCGAGGGTGATCATTGCGCCATCGAATATGACTGTGCAACAGTTAGTTACGATTCTGCCAGTGTACGACTGCGAGTTGTAGCAGAGATACGTACCGAATAGCGGTTGAGTCGAGGCAATTGTGCCTTGGAATCCATCCAAAAATTCGGCAGTCCGGTAGATAGTCCTACAGACCGTTAGCGATAGGTAAACAAGAAGAAGCGTAGGAAGCGTACCGCAGGAAGATGAAGCCTGTCATGACAGACATGGCATACAACATGCGCTTCAGAGGAATGTCCACCTTCCCGCGATAATCCTCACCTGCGGGAACATGTCGTATTGGCCGTTCCCGTGTGTATCGAATGAGGAATTCCGTTGCTAGGGCACAGTATATGGTGATGGCGACTTGTAGGGTGTAAGTAGTCATCTAGATAGCCGTGCACGTGTCTGACGCACCAAGCTGGAATAGAACACCACCGAGAGCGATGTGCGAGCCCTGATATACCGTACATTGGGTCAGTTGAAGGATCAGCAGAACATCAAGAGTGCATGCGGACCAAATTTGCTTGTTTCAAAGTGTTGGCGACCGACACTGTAGTACCGCCTATGCCTTGAACAACGAGGGAAACGATGTCCTAGAGAACGGTAAGAAGAACCCTAATCTTGCATGGACAAAATATACTCACACAGGATAAAAATACGATAGCATCTATGTCCACGTTCAAACCGATTCTGATTAACGAAAACTGGGTATGTGACTCACATAATTTAGGTGTCAGACGGCTGTATTGTGGGCCGAGCCGTCTGATGACGCGTCCCAGGAGAATGAAATTAGCTGCAACTAGCAGTGTGGGTGCGACAATAAGTGTCGTTACTCTGGGCATCTATGAGCAAACTGAGGGACCGAAAGGCGACTGCACCCACTGTATGATGAATGGCTTCTGCAAGAACGGACTTTGGCTCGACCATAATCGAGCACTCCAGCCAATAAGCTCGAGGAAACCACAAAGAACCGCAGTGGGTAATAAAAACCACATGCGGAAATAGCTAGCCTGTATAGTATGGATGACTTCACGGATTTCCACTGTCAGCAATGACCTATTGAACAAAAAGGGACATACGCACATGTAGAGAGTCCGAAGAGCACAAGAAAAGTAATGGAAGCCCATTCGGAGGGAATATAGTTATACCAAAGCACGTAATCAACTTGAGTACCGCCGTGACCACTGTTAATGAAACGTTCAAGAGTGCTGAGAAGGGTACTACTACTCATGATAAGGGTTGCTTGGGACTGCCCAGCCTGTGCCGCATCTTCAAGTTCGTTGACCTGTCTTTATACCCTCCAATGCTGTGCGTTAAATGCCAACTGAGTTGATCAGACTTATAGATTTTCATCCGCGGTTCTGTGACTGGGCGTAATGACGCACAAATGAGACACTGGCAGCGTGCCGTGACAGTGTCACCCGGCCTCATCTGAGTCAACAGTGATTTGGATATACGGAGAAGAGAAAGAACTTCTGTGGTTTCCCAAGCTCCACAGGCCTTCATAGACCTACAATTGTCAGGATTTGCGCAAACACGACACTTCATTTTCGTGCACAGGCACGGATCAAATTGGCTACAGTTTGGGCCCTCCATCACCCACCATCGGGCGACCCACCCGATTTTGTGCAAGGAATTGCCACTGCCTCCCGGCCAGTCTTCTGCACTGCCATTCGGCTCCTCACTGAACACGCTTTCACAGGAGAATACAACGCACGACACCGCCCTCGCGCCCCAGACCCCCACGACTGTCAGTGCGGCCTCGTGCCACTACAGACTCACACGTCTTATTCCACTGCGCGAGTTTCCACGCTGCCCGCGACCGCCACCTACGCTCGGCTTCCCAGACGCTGTCCCCTAGTATCATCTTCGGGACGAAGGCAGGAGAGGAGGCCCTGGTGAAATTCATATAGGAAACACAAGCCTGTGTCAGGCCCCGGAGGAGAGACCCACCCCCAGAAGACCATGGCTAGTCATGTAGGGCCTGCTGCCCAGCCACACTCCCGCTACACACTCACACATTCCATACCACTTTCCATATTAAGACACATCAACCCCCCCCTGTACCTAGATTGTTCGGTATAGCAGTCAAGCGTGTCTTTGTTGTGATGAACATATGCACTATTAAATGCAGATTTAAAAAATAATGGCTACAGTACTGACATGACTTATCTACAGAGGGATCATTTTATTAACCATGTGCTTGTCTCACCATTGCTTACTTTGATTGGTATGGACTCTATTCATCAGGAAATCCAAAGATAAGCCCATTAAGTAATTAGGATGTGTAAGACACTTAAGACAAGCAAACAGAAATAAAACATTAATTTATGTAATTTAACTAAAGTCCGAAAAAAAATATGCTAAGTCGCGACTCGCGAAATTTTCGCTAAGTCGTTTCAGTGGGTGTATTATTTACTACTGTTTGCACAATGTTGATTTTCGTGCCTCTCGTAGTCTGCCGCCCCTTTCCATCTCTCCCTCTATCCCCCTCCGTCGTTGTCTGCCCCGCCCGAACACGTCCCACCGCTGCCTCCTCCGCGTCCTCTCCTTCTCTGCCCCTGCCTCTGCCTCCTTCTCTGCCTCCTTCTCTGCCTCCCTCTCTGGTTCTGCCTCTGCCTCTTCGCGTCGTCATGCCCCCCTTGCGTACGCGCGCTCACATGTCACCACGGGACTACCCAATACCTGTGACGCAACAGGCGCTATCACCACCACCAAAGTCATCGCCGTCCCCCGAGCATGATATCACTTGACATCCGTACGCAGTCCCCCACCCCCGCAATACTACCACTAAAGCCGAGGCCGCGGCTTTCCCCGCCACCTAGCCTCCTGTGCCCACGCCTCCCCCACCGCTTTTGCCTCCTCTTGGATCCACTGCCTCTGTGAGGCAGTCTACGTTGTCGTGCTGCCTGCGCCGACGCCCTGGTACGTTGTCACGCTGCCTGCCCCGCCTCAACGTGTGCTGACTTTTTTTCCCTTTTTTTTCGTCGCCTCCTCCTCCTCCTTGACTACCTCCTCCTGCACTGCCGCCTCTGCTGCCTGGACTACCACCCCCTGCGCCTCCTCCTCCTACGTCTTGCGCCTCCTCCCGTGCCTCCTCCCGCGCCTCCCGTACCTCCTCCCCTCCCACACCTCCTCCACGTCCCCCTTCCCTCCCCTCGCTCCCTCGTCCCGCCTCCTTCTCCTGCGCTTCCTCGCCTCCCTCGTGCCCCCGCGCCTCCTGTGCCTCCTGTGCGCTTCTCTCTCGCGCCTCCCATGTGCCTGCCTCCTCCGCGCGTTCTCTCACGCCTCCCCGCCCTCGCCTCCTCCCCGCCTCCTCCCACGCCTCCACCACCACCACCACCACCTCCCCATGGCCCTGCAGCCCCCACCCCTGCCAGGGCTGTTCCACCAAGGCTGGTGGAACCATTGGATCTCCTGTACATAGTCATGTTGTAGTTTAGCTCAATATATGGATTTTATTGCCCTAAATCTGTGTGCTTGAAACTTTTGGTAAGCACAGATCTAAGCTGCCATTTAAGTGAACTAAGCCCAAGATAAGCATCAATAAGCCCTGGCTAAGTCAAATTAAGGAGAAGACCTAGCTTAGCCTAAGCATGGCCAGCTTAGAGACCTCCTGCTTAAAAGTGCTTAGAAGTGTTGTTAAGTCATATTAAGCATGCTCAAGCATTGTTAAGAAAAACTCAGATTTTCCTGATGCTTACTGATGCAGTAAACAATCAAGGGGGAGAAGGGGAGAAGAAAAGGATTATAACATGATTACAGATGGGTGCCAGGGCCCGAAATAACTAAGTGCTGCTTATCTGCAGAGCGTGAGAATCGCAGGCATATTTCAAAGAAAAGAAATCAAGTCGCATCTCGTCACTTTCCCCCGATTTCGGGTTTCACGTCAATTTCGTGGATGCTGTACACCGCTTGTGCTCACAATTCACGCTATCGCTATTGATATATTCACATCCTGTATTGCACTGCATTTGCGCCTACTGGAGCGACTCATCTGGAACGAAATGACCCTAACAAACTGTGCCAGGCTTTACAGTATCTCCTTTCACAGAGTGGCTCGTCTGATAGAGATAGTAGCGACTATTGTGACGAACCCATAAATGTTCTAAGCTAATGATCTGTTATTTGGACTATCGGCGACTCCTACCTTTCGCTTGTCAGGCGTATCACATGAAAAGAATATTAGGGGGCATCGTCTCACCCCCCGATCAACCACACACAGCACGTACTATTTCATCAGATTGCCGCATGTAACCAACTCACCAGGCTGACTCGGCCGCACCTGAGCTGCTGCCCTCCCCACTAACCCCTGAACACCCCGTTTCAATCCCTCACCCCGGTCAAAGCTCCCATCCTAGTTCCAGACTCTCTTCTCACTCCTATCTCCGCAGACCCCGACAAGGAGTCTGCACTTAACCCTGCCGCGACTGTACAGAATGACGACCCATTGGACCTGATGTGATGGGTTCCTTTCCGAACTCTTCATTTATCCCCAGAGTACAAAGGAAGGAATA